CAGTTCATAAATAGCAGATTCTAGCAGTAAAAGAAGTAATAACCAATACTTTAAAATAATATACACTCACCTTACAAAAGATGTTGAATGGATTTGAACCTGTGATTTACCAGTTTGCACTCTCTCAATTGACTTTTGTACTCAAGAATTTCAGCCACCCTTTATTTCTCATATGCACATGTTATATATAGCAAGTGCATAAACCGCCATCAAATAAATATATTCCACAATCACTCACACACACACACATCTAATATATATAAATAAATATATATACTAATTTCTAAATCTATAACCAAAATTATGAAACCCGAATATTACATGGCGTCTCTGTTATATGCCAAATGAAGATACACTACGCTGGTGTGATTTTCGAATACCAGGCACTAAAACAGAACAAACACCAATGAGAAAAGGTGGTGGCCTACACCTGATTCCTGTGTATGGTATTTGCCAAGATCTTTGGCAATAAATACCCCCCCCCAGAAGGCAACAACCCATTTGCAGGCTTAGGTCTAGAATCTTGGACCACAAGTCTAAACCTGCAGATGTTGGTTTGTTTGCACCAATACTCGCCATCGCTCATGGCACAGGTATGTCCTTTATGCCTTCTTCTCTCCCACAGGTGGTCAGGACTGAGGAAACCCCCCCCCAGTCTATCCCAACCACCACCACCATATCTTCTAAGAGGACCTCCACTCAAGCCCATCTTGGTCCTTCATTGAGGCCAAGAAAAGCCAAAAAGGGATGTGAATCCCAGATCAACAACAAATCAAGAATTAATTCATGTTTAGATTGAGAGATGAAGAACAAAATGAGAAACCGACTAGATTTTCTTTATTAGAAAGCAGTAAAGTTACAATCTCTCAAACAACTCTTATTTAACAACTACAAGAATTAATAGAATGATTAGAAAGATTAACCATCTAGTATAAGCCCCATGTCCCTATTAATAGGTGGCATTTACATGTTAAGCCCATAAGCTCTTAACCCAAATACAATAGATATTATAATACAATACAATAAAAAGACTTTATAAAACTTTCTAACAATTTTTGTCCTAATAATAGGGCATCCAAATTGCTGACTGTTACCTCCCTACAAGTTTTAGTCATTGAAACAAGCCTTATCCCCGAGGCGCTCTCTTCTACCCCCACCAAGCTTTTCAGTGATCTCCACATACATTGTCGTACAAGTGGCTACTTACCCAATTGCCTCAGTGACCCAAATCATTGAATGTGTGAATATTAGCACTACCACTGTTGAACACTCACAACCATCTCTCTCAGCCATTCTCTCCTACCCTCCTCTCTTTACATGCTGGTGATTTTTCAGTGGTTGTCTCCACTAGTGATGAAGCAATCACCATAGGACCTGAGGTGACTCCTCTCGAGGTGCCTCAGTCATAGGACGTCTATCCTCACGAAGGCTATTTCAAGACAACTAATGCCAATCCTTTGGATGACGTTGATGAGCCCTCATGTACTCCATCTCTCTATCCTTTCATTTCTTCTAACCAAGAGCCTCTTTATGCTCAAAATCTTCATTCTTTTTTCAGGTCCTTTTGCAACGGAACCTTTAGCCATGGAGACTGATGTCTATGATATGGTTGAGGATGTGAAACTTCTTCTCCCTGTTGTCGCCACTATCTTGGACAAGATGGATCAAGTCCACCAAGACATGCTAAACAAAGAAGACCTCTCCTCAGGCCTTTCTACTGTCAAAGCTGAGGTCAATGAGGTGAAGGAGTTGCTGACCCTGGTGCAACTTGATGTACGCACTAACACTGAGGCCATCATTGCTTTAAATAGCAAGGATGATGAATGCAAGTCCAGCTCGCCAGACATGGTGAGCGTGGAGCAGATTCTAACGCTTCTACAACGTCCAGCCCCGATCCCTAAACCATCCTTCACAGATGGTGATTTCCAGACTTTGGATCGGTTGTTTGAGTTCAACATCCTGCAAGCTGAGGCGCTTTCAAACCTCGAGCTTCGCATGGATGATCTCACACAACGTCTTAATAACTTCACCTCTTCTTTTGTTGATGACAAAAAGGGGGAGAAAGATCTGCCTGCTACTGAGGAACCTGCCGCTGATACTGAAGCTGTTGTTGCCGCTGAAGCTGAGGCTCCTCAATCCTTAATCCCTCAGTTTGAGGATGTTATCACTTTTGATGACACTAAAGCTGATATTGTAGCTGAGGACGATGACGATGCCGTCATAGTTGCTGCTATAGATGAAGATCTTCCTATCACCTCTGCAGCTAATGTTGGTGATGAGGAAGATGATGATGAAGAAGATGAAGACCTTCCCTTGCCTGATGTTGGAAAAGACTTAGGTGACGATGATGATGAACATGTATTGTAACTCCTTCAGATACTGTTATACTTCAAGAAGACAAAACTCATATAAAAAAACCTTGAGCAATGTCGAAGACAAACTGAAGATTAAAGACTAGCGCGTTCGTGATCTGAAGCGGCATTCAATGATTACAAGCTCATCAAATTATATGTGAAGTCTGCATAAGTTTCAGTAAATGCTGAAGAGACCTTCCAACATTATATCAACATTCAACGATCAAATGAAGCTTGTCTTGCACGATTGTTTTTGTCTTGTCCTCCTTTACACATACGGCAATCCCATACCTTTTCTAGAGTATAGTACATTATGGAGCCACTCCGTTGACTCTATAGTGCTTACCTACTTTATGAAAAGAGGATTGCTCATGTACAGCCAAAATGACTGTTTACTATAGCAAAGGACAAACTTTCTTCCAAAAGCTTGACACGTGCTTTATACCTTATGAATTGCATTAAATTCAATGGGTATAAATAATTGAGTGCGCTCTACTCAGTTACAACTTCTTCATCTCTAAGAAACTTGCCCAAGAAGATACTTCTCTCTACTCTCATCTTAAGAGAAATAACCACTTAGAACAAGTGAAGAGCATTTACATTTCCTAATTTCTTTGTAGCAAATCTTTTCTCTTTGCTATTTTGTAATTATGTGAACCTTAGATTGTTTCGATAGGCTTCTTTACCTTATCTCTTCCTCAAACAATTTGTAAAATTTGTATTGATCTTTCTTTATCAATATATAATTTTTAAAAGTGAAAGTTTCTGTGTTTATGTTCGTCCCCCCTCTGCAAACTATTACCTATAACTTTTGTAGATCTGGCTGGGACCAAAATATCTCGAAATAATATATCATATTTATTTAAATATTTTACCATAGAATGTTTAATTTGCATGCAATTTAATAAGAAAGAGTAAAAAAATTAAATGTTTTTAAATTGTAGCAATGAAAATGAAAATGTTTAAAAATAAATTGAAAATGTTTTTTTAACCATGTCATCAAAATGATGTGTCATTCACATCACCTCATAAAAGTCGAACAATAAAAAAAAGTAAAGGGTTGAATAGATTTAAAAGGTAAAAGGTTACCATTACTACAATGGATATTGATTAGATTTTCCAAAATATGATGTCCTAAATAATTTAAACTATATTACTGTAATAAGAAAACATGAAAGTAAAATGTCATAATAAAGAAGTTTATAAAAGTAGGTTGATACTTTATACATTAAACCCTTTTGAGAATGATTGTCTATTGGTTCTCCTAATAAAAATCGAGTGGATCATGTATATAATCGGTTTTAATCCTTTTCACAAATAACTATTTTATAATGAATCTCTCCAAAAATAACTATGCCTGTTTATACAGAATGGTAGAAGGATCAAATCGAATCCTTTTAGAAAGAAGAATTTTTATCTCGTTGTAGCTTGCTTCGAATAGGTACAGTTTGACCCTAATCAACCGACTTTACTGGGAAATATTACCTTTTAATTTTTTTTAAAACATGTCTAATGGGTTGTTTGTTTACCTCTTAAAAGTTCCATTAAGGGGCAACCTGTGAATCGTTAAGAGGTGAATCTTGTTTGGCAAAAAAAAGTTTGTCTCTTAATGGTTTTAAAATTCTCTGAATGATGTGTTATCCTGGATCTCCCTTAACTATTAAAAGCCCTAATTTCACTGTACACAATTATCAAACAATTATGTTTCATTTTACACTATATCATGAAAGCCTCTTAATCATTCTGACCACTTAATCATTCTGCACTAAATCATTCAGCAATTGTCAAACAACCCATAACATTGACATATAATATATAGCATACTACCTAGAATTTTCCTAAATCCATTAATAAATTCAAATAGTATATATATATAAATATATATGTAGAGGAGTGATCATATGAAAACTGCCCTCATTTGTGTAAACCGAGTAAACCACCTTCATCTGTCGATTTCATTGTTTAATCTTATGAAATTTTTTCATATAATTGTTTAATCTTGTGAAATTGTTTCATATAATACTTTTTTTGATGAAATTGTTTCATATATGGTTGTGAAATTGTTTCATATAATACTTAATGAAACTGTTTCATGTATTTCTCTAACATTAATGAAACTGTTTCATGTATTTCTCTAACATTAATGAAACTGTTTCATGTATTTCTCTAAAATTAAAATAATGAAGATGATAATATCTATGATTAACACCTTTCACAATAAAAATGATTAATCAACCTCTCATAATTACAAAAAAATGAACAAAATGAAAAATTATGATTGGGGTAATGCGGTTTGCACGGTTTGTACAAATTGAATGGTTTGCATTTGATCGCTCCCCTATATATGTATATATATGTATGTATATATATATATATATATGTATGTATGTATATCGTACAAATACAAATATGAAACAAAATCACACGAGTTTTGTTTTGTTTGAATTGGTGATTGGTCCCACTTTTGTCAAGATTCCTTCTTTGTATTTTCTCGAGAAGCTCTGTCGTTACTGCACACGCTCCTCTTGAATATCCAACCCTTTCCCTTTCTCTCTCTTAACGGCTTTAATTTGAATGTTTCCTTCTGATTTCCACACACTCCATCGTCTACGCATTCAATTTCTTCTTCTTTCATTATTAATATCTTTGAAAAGTTTCCACCCCCAATCACCATTCATTAGGGTATTGACTCCGTCTCTCCAATCTCCGGCTTTCACTACAGGTACCCTTCCTTTATCTTTGTGTTTTTTTGGTTATTCATGTTTCACCACTTTGGATTCCTGGTTTCCCAACTGGTTTATGTATTCTGAGTGAAATTTTGATGCAAGTATTCAAATTCTTTTGCTGCGATTTATCGTTATGGTGTGAATTTGGGTTTGCTTTTGCTTGAATTTCAACTTCCTTTGGTGTATTTGGAGTGTTATTGTATGATACGGATGTAACAGATGAGTAGACGAGTGTTCGATTTGAGTCGATGAGATTATCTCTTTTTAGATGATTTATTTGACTTATGGATTTGATGCTTGTTTTGACATGATTGAAGCTGATTTTTCTAATGAAATTGAGAAAGTTATCTTGTGTTGAATGAATGAGTGGCACAACACTTGATGTGTAGCTTTTGATTTCTGTTGTGTTTAAATATTTTTCTCTCTTTTGGTTGCGTTCTGTGGTCATTGATCCAATGGTTCACATGGACCAAAACTTGATACCAAATGTAGGATTTGAACTTTAATATGAACATGAGGATCAGGCCTCTTTAAATCAGTTCCTAGGGTGTGTTTGGTACGTGAAACAGAAACACGGAACAACAACTTGTTGTCTTACGTTTGACACAATATTAGATTAGGACATGATGGGACTGAGTGGGTCAAAAATGCCCTCCTTTTGAACGTAAAAAAGGTGGAACAAAAAATTATGGAAATAGAACAAAAATTGGTAAATTGCTAAGCTACCCACGATTATTTCACTTGCCTACATCACTCTCGTCCATACAGTCTTGTTCCATTCAGTCTCATCCAGATTTGCCCACTAGGCTAACCATTTGGGGTTTTGTGTTTATATGATTAGTAGTAATTGCGAGCTTAAGGGGTATTTATCCTTTTTTTCTTTAAATTAGGTTTGCATGTTATGAAGGGCATTAGTTGTTTGTTGTTTGGAGATCTGGTTTGGTAAATGTACATACTTGACAAAGATGGGAAATTGGACAAACTTAATAAAATGTCGACTCGTATTTATTGTCTTGGGTAATTGATGGAAGAGGTCATAAAGATTTTCCTTATCAAATAGACTACAATTTGATGCTCAAGCCGGGGACTGTGTTTAAGTGATCAAACTGAATAGCTAATTTAACTTACATCTGTTATACCGATTGGAAAGAATGAGGATTTCTATCCCAATTCACTAAATAACACCCTATGCACCAGGATCTTGTTATGTAACTTCAAACAAAAATATTTTTTTTGTCAACTTTTAAGTATTGGTTGGTTTATTGAAAATTTAACCACCATTGAAGATGAACGTGGTTTTCTAAGATAGAATTTGAAGAGATGTGAGGACCTCCATGGTTATTATTGCCATTAGGCCTACTAGAATAGTTATACATAATGTTGTTGAAGAATGTAGGAAAACATGTGTCTTTTTTCCTTAAATGCAGCATTTAATAGTTATCTGATGACTTGAGGGATGCGATATTTATCTGTTCGTGTAGCCTTCTAATAATCTATAAATCATGAAGTGAAACAGACGCATTAAGCGGTCTGTACTAACCAAACCAAACAAACCCAGTAAATCCCATGCTAGATGGTAGGGGTGGAGTAAAGAGGCAAGGCAGCATTCTACAGCTAAGAGTGTGCAATCAAAGAATGTGTAAAGGACAGATATGAAGAAAATAGGTTAAATTAAACAAAGAAACACAAAGCTGGATACTACATTATTTTGTTACAGTGCTTTCTAAATAACTGTTTCTGATAAGTTCATCGATGTAGGAGCATCTCAACAAAATCAGGATAGATTTCATAATGCTTAAACTTGAAATGTCAACAACATTGAATGAAAACAATAGAAGCTGATTTTTGAAAGCCCTCTTATACTTTCGACTATGCCACAGTTGTATTTACTTGTGAACCCACATAGTATTTCCTGATTAAAATCGAATATTCATGGCATAAATATCTAGTTTGGCTAACCCTTTTGATTCTATATGAAGCGAATAGCAGATCATGTCGGCGATGTCAACTGGATTATCATATTTTGATGAGTTGAGAGATAATCCGGAGGTCATTGATCCTCCTCAAATGGAAGATGCAATGGATGTAGCGGAACATGTCCATGACCCTGCTCAAAATGCATTAAAGTCTAACGTACTTGCCACTAGCAGTGTCCGCGACCTATTAGAGTGTCCGGTTTGCTTGAATGCCATGTACCCTCCTATTCATCAGGTGCCGCTTCTTGAAAAATTTCAGCATGATAACCTTCCATTTTACCCTCAAGTACCAATTAAAGTTTCTTTATTTCTTTATTTAGTTGTATTCACATGTTAACATGGGTGTAGAGGTTAGAGGTCTTGTCTGCATACATCATATCCCTGGGACCCCACCTTCGGGTGGAATATATTCATGTGTTCTCAAAAAGTTTCTTTTGTTTCAGTGCTCAAATGGTCACACGTTATGTTCGGGTTGCAAACCGCGGGTGCACAATCGTTGTCCAACGTGCCGCCATGAACTTGGGAACATTAGATGTCTTGCACTCGAGAAAGTGGCTGCATCCCTTGAACTTCCGTGTAAATATCAGAGTTACGGGTGTGTGGGAATCTTTCCGTATTACAGCAAGTTAAAACATGAATCTCAATGTGTCTTTAGACCCTATAATTGTCCGTATGCTGGCTCAGAATGCACGGTTATTGGCGATATCCCGTATCTTGTGGCGCATCTTAAAGACGGCCACAAAGTTGACATGCATAGCGGCAGTACTTTTAATCATCGGTATGTCAAATCAAATCCTCATGAGGTTGAGAATGCAACATGGATGCTTACGGTATGTTTTTTCTCTTCTTTTATGTCCATTCATTCCCTTTATATTACACATAAGTATTCACGGAAACAGCCGTAGAGGTTAGGTCTGTTACATATCTGTTATGACTGCTAACCTACTGATCTGGTAACATTCATGATGTGGATGCCGAGTTATCAAGTTATATTGATTGAAAAAAAAATATAATGGTGGATGAGCCAGGTTACTCGTCCAAAATATATTGATCGACTACTTGGCATCCACGTCATCAAATCTTACAAGATTAACAAGATGGGTACAAAATAGGTATGGGAACAAGACCTGTCCCATTGGGATTCCCTGCAAAACCAAGGACGGGGATTCCCGAAACTTAAAACCGGGGATGGGGACATGGCCAGGTAACGTGGTCCCTGACCCACCCTGTCCCCGTAATAACAAATTTTGAAAATATGTGAGATTTAAACATGGACCATTATCGATCAAACATGTGTTTTAACACATTTGATTTAAAATATCTCATATTAACAAGGAAAAAGTCCCCGATTCCCTGTTGGGGGAGGGGATGGGGATTGGGCCATTGGGGTCCCTGCCTCATTCCAATGCCTCGTATGAATTGAAAACTTTGAAACTTTTTTACATTGATTGACAATATATATATATATATAGAGAGAGAGAGAGAAAGAGAGGGAGGTTCAAACAAGACATGGTCAACATAAGAAAACATGAGAATGAGCTGACCGTGTGTTTTTCCATTGAAATCACATGCAATTATGAAACACGATCAACACAAGGGATGTGCACAGGACTTGGTCTGCGACTTGAGTCATGGCCAATGTCGTGCGAATCACCTGTGATTTTACACGTGATTTTAGCGTAAAATCACATGTGAATTGACTATCTCGTGTTTTGTTATTTGGTTACTGTTCTCGTTTGAACCTGACCCTGTACATGTATATATACACAATATTGGATGAAGTACATTCCAAGTTATGAAGTTATATTAATTGAAAATGGTGGATAAACATGTTACTGGTCCAAATATATTAATTGACAACTTGACATCCACGTCATCAAATGTTAAAAAATTAACAGGTTTGGTTGCTTGTCAAAATGGTTGCAAAATAGAAAATTTTGAAACTTTGTTATATTGATTTTAAAAATAAAAATCTTTATTACACAAAATAGGAACTTTGGCAAACTTCATTCCATCTTATGCAAATGGAACCCAACGAACTTCGTTCATTAGGCTCCAAACATGTTTACGGCCTTGGTAACATGTTTCTTTTGGTACCGCAGGTATTTAGTTGCTTTGGTCAATACTTTTGTCTCCATTTCGAGGCCTTTCAGCTGGGAATGGCACCCGTTTATATCGCGTTTCTAAGATTCATGGGTGACGATGACGAGGCAAAGAACTACAGCTACAGCCTTGAAGTTGGCGGGAACGGTCGGAAGATGACGTGGCAAGGAGTGCCGAGAAGCATCAGGGACAGTCACCGGAAAGTTCGTGATAGTTTCGATGGTCTGATTATTCAAAGAAATATGGCCCTTTTCTTCTCAGGGGGAGATAGGAAGGAATTGAAGCTGAGAGTTACTGGTAGGATTTGGAAAGAACAGTAAAAAAGAAGAAAGAATAAGGTTTGAATTTGGTGTAGTTGTAGTTAGAAGGGGTTAGTTAAATGGGCAAACTCTCTTTGCTTCTTTTTGCATTTCCTGGTTGTATGAATTTCTTTCGTTAGGAAATGAAATTTTGGCCTGCGGAATTCAGAGTATTGTTTACTGGATAAGCGCTTACTGACAAGAGTCCCCATGTTGATTTTAATTATCTGGGATATTTTCGGTCATCAAAATGGATTGTTGACAAACATCTTTTACACGGTAAATCTTCAATTATTGGGTAAGTTTTATAGTCTTGGTCATGCTCGAGCTCAGCGATAAATGGTAATTAGTGTAAGAACCATACAAAAGAAGGTATGAAAATTGAGATCGGTTTATAAAGGCATCGATCAGTACTCATGAATTACCATATTAAATGATCGATTCGGCAGCGTTTCGTATGTGTATGTACCTAGAGGTACAAAGGATTGGATTTTAACTGGTCTTAATTGGTTATTGGCAAAATATTCAGGATTAAATCCAGACTAGCGGTCTTAACCGAGCCTTTTGAAAATTGAAAAAACAAGTGAATATAAAAATTAATAATCATTTTAAAAAAATATCTCAAATATTTATTTAATTGTAAAAAAATACAAATTCGTTAAATTATGATATTATAAACTAATTTATTCTTTTGACGTTTTCATTGTAATCACTTTTAACCTTCTTTAGTGATAAGTTTGAACGGTGTTAAAACATAAAACATTTGTATACTTGGAATAAATACTTGAGTTCACATGTTGGGTTTAAAGTTGAGCCACACGTAAAAACCGGACACATATCTTTAAAATATTTTATAAATTATTTTGCGTTATTGATTACCATAAAACATTTGTATACTTGGAATAAATACTTGAGTTCACATGTTGGGTTTAAAGTTGAGCCACATGTAAAAACCGGACACATATCTTTAAAATATTTTATAAATTATTTTGCGTTATTGATTACCATAAATTAGTTTTGATGTGTTTTAACTTTTTGTAGTCATAAAAATAGTTAGGTTAGGTACAACGCTTAACTGGGTTTTTTGAACTTTGAGCGGGCATTTTTGGGCTTTAATCATGCCTTCACTGGGCCCGTTTTTGTTGTTTTTAGGCTTTATCTTGGCTTCTTTTAACTGGTTAAGGACTAGACCCAGGTTTAAATTTTAGGACCAAAACGGAATTTCATCTATAATCGGTCCTTGGGTTGAACCTTGTTGGACCCGACTGAAAAATACTTTATATAGTGGTTACTTGTGGCAGTGGAAGAGGAGGCGGTGATTGTGCTAAGGCGGAGGTGGTTGGCCGTAGTGGTGGTGGTAATAGGGATGAAGGTAGAGGTGGTGAGAGTGGTGGAGGTAGGGGTGGTTGTCGATGGTGGTTGTAGATGATACGAAGATGGTGGATGGTGATGGTGGCGGTCGATTGTAGTTGTGGAGGAACTTGAGATTAGAGATGTAAACGATACGAAACAACTCGTGAGCAACTGAAGATTAATTCGGTCAAAGCTCGGTCAACACTCGACTCGACATATTAACGAGTCGAGTCAAACTACCCAATACTCGACTCAAAAAGTTCGTGAGATACTCAGTTAATTTATATATAATTAGTTTATAAAATATAATAAATTTTTATGAAAAAATTTGTAAAATATAAATAATAAAAATGTCTTATATTTTTAGAAGTTTAAACAAAATTATGTATTTTTTAATTATAAATATTAATTAATTGTTTTCTATTAAAATTACAATTAAAAAAAGACAAAGAAAAACTATAAAAAGGTTAATGAAATTGTCTCACATTGGAAGAGAGATGGTAAAAGAAGGGACAAAAGATGTTATAAAAACAAAGGAAGGTGAATGAAACTTCTAACTTTGTCTTTTTTATGATGAAGTTTGAAGTTGATCTATTTAGTTTTATAAAACTAAAATGACACCTTTAAGTTTTAAAAATTATAAGAGAAAGACCCTAAAATTTCATAAATTTCAATGGGTGACCTTGGTTCAAGTTCAAGTTTGATTTGAGTTGCAGTTAGAGCTTGATTTGAGTTTGAGTTCGAGCTTGAGAAATAGCTATCGAGTTCGGGTCGATCTTTGATTTTTACTACTCGTGAGTTTTCGAGTCGAGCTTGGAAATTGAGTTTCGAGTTTGAGTCGAGTATAGTGATACTCGAGCTCGATTCGCATCATTTACACCCCTAATTGAGATGGTTGACAATGGTGATGGCCGACAGTGATGGATATGAAGGTGCAGGTGTTTGTTTTGGAGGAGATGGCGGTGGACGGTGGTAGTGGAAGTCGTCGGTCAGGGACAGACCTAGGCCATTTTTGTAGTGGCACACGCCATCATTTCGTTCCTTCGTCGTAGAAATTTAAACAAAATTATGCATTTTTTAATTATAAAACTCATAAAAGACTCAAAGTATCTAAATCGGTCAGATCAAACTATTTTTCATGGTCCAATTTAACCAGTTGAATTCTTTGTTATCAAACCGTTGGATTTAAAAATTCCTCAAACCATCATTGCAATCTAAGTTAAACCGTCCAAACCAAACTACCAACACTCTTAATTGTTACTATCTGGTATCATACCAAATTGTCCTATGTATTACGATGAGACACGTAGAACAATGGGTTTAATGGTTGATGACATGTGGAGTTCTGGAGGGAGGTCCAATGACGTGTTAGCCTCCTTTTTTAATTGGTCAATGGAGTCATCGTTTTTTATTTGTCAATGAAAGTCATCATTTTCTTTTGTCTTCGAGTAAATTAGATGGTGTTGGTTTAAGTGGTTAGACCAGAATTTAGATATGATTTTCATTTTGAAATAAACACATTGGGGTTTACGTTAACATGGTTGAATCGAATCCGTTAACTCTAGTCTAGAATAAATACATCATTTTATTTATTAATTGAATCCCTCCTTGAAAAAGTAATTATTAAAGGGTTGTTGGAATTGCTTATTTGAAACAATTTATATTTTTTTACAAAAATCTTTATCAACTTATTATAAGTTAAAATGACCTAAGTTGTTAAAAACTTCTTATTATCGGTTTGACACCGATCTAAGCTGTTTATCCAAACACTCAAAAGTGTTTATTATCGATTTCACATCAGAATAAGTCAATAAGTTGTTTTTGTAAGCAATCCTAAACACCCCTAAGATTAAGATTTGGTCAAGTTACTTATTGATTAATTTTTTTCATAGACCAATAGAAAATTGCCACATGTCCTCTCCTCTCCCTCTCGTTGACCTGCACACCCCTTCCCTCCCGCACCAACAAACTCCGGCCATTTGACAATCGAACCAACCATCAGTCCTTTTCTACATCACTGTCATCATTCTCCCCACCCTCCCTACAAACCTCTAGATTTAAAACCACCACCACTCATTTCTTCATGGCTATAATCAAAAAGTTCACAAAGACCCACCTCAAACAAACCCCAAACAGATTCCAACCAAGGCAAACTAAGAGGATAAAGTTGCAAGTTCTTGGGAGAAGAGAAGAAAGCTGCATATATATATACATATATATATATATATATATATATATAGTGTGCATATATATAAAAGAATGAATCCAATGCTGGTGGAAGGTTCAAGACAGAAAGAAGAGTGTTCTCCGGGCAAATGGAATCTTTGGTAATGTAAATGGGATTATATTGCGATGGATAAGGACATTCCAATCTTTTTGAAAGCTTGTTACATCTAAAACTTTTGATTACATTGTATAAGTGAGACAATAGATAATATATGTTAAAAACAAAAATGGGTTAAATATAAAACGATTAACAATCTGAAACTAAAACTAAAACCAAACGATTAATGATTTGAGCCTAAATAATTTCGGCTATAGTTTTACATAGGTCGATAAAAAAACCCTAAACACATGTAAATTTGGGCCCCAAAATTTTGGGGGCCTGTTCAAAATCTCACATTTAACATGCTAAGAGACGGCCCTGGCGATGGATTATATAATGAAGCTACCAAGAACATCGAAAGGGTAAGATGCTACATGAGAACTGAAATTTGAGATGAGAATGAAATATTCTCAGTTGTTTAACTGATCGAATTCCGGGACGGAATTATTTTGAGGGGAGGATAATGTGATAACCGGGTTTTTCGGTTACAAAGTTGAGGGGTAATTTCAAATAATGGTGGTAAGTTGAGGAATTTAATTTGTTTATGTGCTTTAATGATTTTAAATTTCACTCACCACCTCTTACGGTTTGTATTCGTTATATGTGAGATATTGGTTCTATCTCTTGGGAAAGTGTAATTAAATGTTACCTCCACCGCCTTATGCTTTGTTTAAATGAGTTTATTATGAGATATTTATCTTATCTCATTGATCTTGGTGGAGAAAAATGTTGAGCCTAAAAATGTTGTATTCATGTCCTTGTACTTAATATGTTTAATATGCTTTATAGTGTAAGTCTTAATGCTTTGTAAGGTAGTGGTCCTTATGAACTAATTGTTCTACACTTCTTACTTGGTGTAGCTTGTTACATCAAGTAAAGAGATCTATTCAGTGATAAGAAATCCCTCGTGTTCGGCTATAGCAAGAGCCCCTGAATCTAGAGCCTCTTGGCCTTCCAATCCAGTGGGTTATTACTTCTTTGGTAGCTCAACACATGTACTTTTTACCTGCTTATGCATTTATAGCACAAGACTTTACTACTCAAGCTGCGTTATATACTCATCACCAATACATCGCAGGATTCATCGTGACAGGAGCTTTGCTCATGGAGCTATATTTTTTATTAGGGATTACAATCCGGAACAAAATGAGGATAATGTATTGGCAAGAATGTTAGAACATGAAGAAGCTATCATATCTCATTTAAGTTGGGTCAGCCTCTTTTTGGGCCTTGTAATCTGTAGGTATAAATAGGCTGGTAATTTATGTTGGTTAATTCAGTTAAAACATATCCTAGCATTGAGAGATTACGTGAGATCTTTTGAGAGCTCAAGAACATTGCGTACTTTGTCTATCTGTTGATCCTCTCTCTCAGTAATTTGATGATGATCCCTTTAATTTGATGATGATCCTCGCTGAACATGTATTGTAAATCTTTCATAGACCAGTATCCTTCAGGAAGACAAAACTCACACCACAGATCCTTCAGCAATATCAAAGATAG